CTCTTAATATGCTATTATATGTGACATACTTCTGAATATATCAAAGCATACTATAAATCTTTCATTAGCAGTCACATGTACCTTATAAAGAAGATAAGAAAGCAATGGTTTATCTTACAGCAAGTAACCCCAAATGCAAGAGGGGCTAGAATTTTCTGAGAGTTTCAGAGCATGCCAGAGATAGCATCAGAATTATGTTGATAAAAGAACAGCACATGCTTAGGGATAAAGGTCAGAAGGTGGCTTTAGGATAGGAAAGAAGGGCAAATGGAAACAGTAAACACAGGAAGTGAGGAGAATGTGATTACATTGTGGGGATTGCAATCAGTGTCACAAAACAAATTGTGTATAAAACGATTGTTGGAAAACCCATTTGCTCTGTAAACTTCTACCTAAGTCACAAGTCACAATAAAAAAAGTTATTTAAAAAAGAAAAGAAAAGCCCATGGGGTAGTTCTATTGGTCATGTAGGTTTGCTGTAAATTGAAATTTACTTGATGGTAATGGCACACAACAACAAGAGCAACCAAAGGTCCCTGGGTTGATACACACAGTCTGGCACCATTTAAGAAAAGCCTGGCTGGAAAAAAAAAAAAAAAAGGATATTGATTCTAAGTAAACTTCAAATAATTGATACAGAAAGGAATGTATTTCCCACTTAATCTGTAAATTCTAGGGTAACCACCTCATCCTGGTTTGCCTAGACACTTTCCAGGTTTGTGCACTAAATGTATACTCTAAGAAACTTCCTAGACATGGGCATACCAGGGTGTTTGCTCACAACAGTGTGGTTACTTACCCATTAACAGAAAAGATGATATATCTGCAAAAAGTGTTTCCCATAAAATGAAAAACAACAGATCCCAAATGTCTGATCTGGTCCTGCATAACCATAAAGTCCAATCTTGGCAACCAGTTACCCTAGGAATCCAGAGTTCCCTGAGGAAGTGCCATTAGTTCAAAGGATGCCATAATATTTGGATTCAGTCAGTGCTCATTGCTGTTGTTGTTGTTAGTTGCCATCAAGTCGTCTCCGATCATAGCGACCCTATGTACAGCAGAATGAAACACTGCCCGGTCCTGTGCTATCCTTATGATTCTTGCTATTCCTGAGCCCATAGTTGCAGCTGCTGTGTCAATCCACCTTGTTGAGGGCCTTCCCCTTTTTTGTTGACCCTCCATTTTACCAAGCATGATATCCTTCTCCAGGGAATGGTTCCTTCTGACAACATGACCAGAATAGGTGAGATGAGGTTTGGCCATTCTTGCTTCCAAGGAGCATTCCAGCTGCACTTCTTCCAGGAAAGATTTGTTAGTACGAACTTTTAGCAATCCATTGTGCTCTCAGCATTCTTCGCCAACACCACAACTGAAAAGCATCGACTCTTCTTTGGTCTTCCTTATTCATTGTCCAGCTCTCACGTGCATAAGACACGATTGAAAATACCATGACTTGGATTAGGCGCACCTTAGTCTCCAAGGATGTTGATGACTTCTTTGCTCTTCAGCACTTGAAAGAGGTCTTTTGCAGCAGATTTGCCTAATGCAATTCTATGACTGATTTCTTGACTGCTGCTTTCATTGGTGCTGATTGTACAACCAAGTAATATGAAGTCCTTGACAACTCTGTTTACCATGATGCTGTTTATTGGTCCAGTTGTGAGGATTTTTGTTTTCTTTATATTGAAGTGTAATCCATACTGCAGACTGTAGTCTTCAGTCTTCATCAGTAAGTGCTTCGCCAACACCACAACTCAAAAACATCAACTCTTCTGTCTTTCTTATTCATTTTCCAGCTCTCACTTACATAAGAGGTGATCATTCCATATTCTGCCCATAGAGTCCTCACTTTCTGTGTAATATAGGTTGTTAATGAGTCTTCCTCCAGTCTTGATGCCACATTCTTCTTCATATAATCCAGCTTCTTGGGTTATTTGTTCAGAATACAAACTGAATAAGTATGGTGAAAGGATACAACCCTGACATACTTCCGTCTTGATTTTAAACCATGCAGTATCCCCTTGTTCTGTTCAAACAACAGCCTCCTGGTCTGTGTACAGATTCCTCCTGAGTACAATTAAGTGTTCTAAAATTCCCATTCTTCTCAATGTTATCCATAATTTGTCAGGATCCACACAATCAAATGCTTTGCATAGTCAATAAAACATAAGTAAACATCTTTCTGTTATTCTTTGTTTTCAGCCAAGAAGCATCTAACATCAGCAGTGGTATCCCTCATTCCATATCCTCTTCTGAATCCAGCTTGCATTTCTGGAAGTTCTCTGTCAATATACTGCTGCAGCCAATTTTGAATTACCTTCAGTAAGATTTTACTTATGTGTGATATTAATAATATTGTTTGATAATTTTCACATTCTGTGGCATCACTTTTCTTTGGAATGGGTACAAATATGGATCTCTTGCAGTCAGTTGGCCAGATAGCTGTCTTCCAAATCTCTTGGAATAGCCAACTGAATACCTCTAGTGCAGCATCTGTTTATTGAAACATCTTGATGGGTATTCCATCAATTCCTGGAACTTGTTTTTGACCAGTTCCTTCAGTGCAGCTTTGACTTCTTCCTTCAGTATCATGGGTTCTTGATCATATGCTGCCTTCTGAAATGGATGAACATCAACCAATTCTTTTTGCTACAGTGACTCTGTGTATTCCTTCCATCTTCTTTTGATATTTCCTGCATCATTCAACATATTGCCCATGGAATCTTTCAGTATTGCAACTCAAGGCTTAAATTTTTTCTTCAATTCTTTCAGCTTGAGAAATGCCGAGTGTGTTCTTCCCTTTTGGTTTTCTAACTCCAAGTCTTTGCACATTTCATTATAATAATTGACTTTGTCTTCTCAAGCTGCTGTTTGAAATCTTGTGTTCAGTTCTTTTATCTTGTCATTTCTTCCATTTGCTTTAGCTACTCTTCGCTGAAGAGCAAGTTTCAGAGTCTCTTCTGACATCCATTTTGGACTTTTCTTCCTTTCCTGTCTTTTTAATCATCTTTTGCTTTCTTCATGGATGATGTTATTGATGTCATCCCACAATTCCTCCGGTTTTCAATCATTGGTGTTCAGTGCATCAAATCAATACTTTAGATGGTCTCCAAATTCAGGACGGATATATTCAGGATCATATTTTGGCTCTCATGGACTTGTTTCAATTGTCTTCATCTTCAGCTTGAACTTGCATATAAACTGTTGATGGTCTGTTCCCCAATCAGCTCCTGGCCTTGTATTGGCTGAAGATATTAAACTTTTCCATTGTCTCTTGCCAAAGTTGTAGTTAGTCTGATTCCTGTGTACTCCATCTGGCAAAGTCCATGTGTGTAGCCATTGTTTATGTTGTTGAAGAAATGTATATGCAATGAATAAGTCATTAGTCTTGCAAAATTCTATCATGTGATCTCCAGGGTCATTTCTATCACCAAGGCCAAATTTTCCAACTACAGGTGATTCTTATTTGTTTCCAGCTTTTTCATTCCAATCACCAGTAATAATCAGCACATCTTGGTCACATGTTTGGTCAAATTCAGACTGCAGAAGTTGGTAAAAAAATCTTCAGTTTCCTCATCTTTGGCTTTGGTGGTTGGTGTGTAAATTTGAATAATAGTGTTAACTGGTATTCCTTGTAGGCATTTGGATATTATCCTATCACTGACAGCATTGTACTTCAGGACAGATCTTGAAACATTCTTTGTAATGATGAATGCCATTCTTCTTCAATGTGTCATTCCCAGCATAGTAGTTTATATGGTTGTCTGATTCAAAATGACCAAATATAGTCCATTTCAGCTTGCTAATGCCTAGGATATTGATCATTATGCATTTCATTTCATTTTTGAGAAGTTCCAATTTTCCTAGATTCATACTTCATGCATTCCATGTTCCAGTTGTTAATGGATGTTAGCAGCTCTTTCTTCTTGTTTTGAGTCATGCCACATCAGCAAATGGAGGTCCCGAAAGCTTTACTCCATCCATATCATTATGGTTGGGTTGAGTCTACTCTGAGTAGGCATCTCTTCCCTAGTCGTATTTTGAGTGCCTTCCAACCTGAGAATTTAGTAAGATTCAATAAGACTATTAGTAATCATCTGCAAACCGAAGAGAATTGAGGCCGCTGGCTTAGTCTTCTATCCTGCAGCTAATCTCAGAGCTCATGTTTGGTGTGTGTTGATTTTTAAACTAGTTATCCCTCTAGGCTGCGTTTCTCAGCAAAAGTCATTTGTCTAGGGATTTCTGTGTTTTAAATTCTTTTTTCTATTGTATCTCTGGCATATCAATCATTGGAAATGTTTTTACTGTATACTTATGTACGTATCTCTTGCTTTTTTCTAAAAAGAGATTTAAGATTAGGTACTTAGTATGCTGTACATGAAAGGTAACAGAAGATCCATTTCTTTATTTTTTTAATATTTATATAGCTATTTGATTGACAGATGTGTTCTAGATAGTCATGGGATTGTTCCTGAGAAAGATGTCATTTCTTTTTTCAGATAAACTCTTGAAATTGCAACATGCTATGAAAATTTCTCACCACCAAGTAAAATATTTTAGAAATTGGCTAGAAGTATAAACTATATTTACACCATTTTAAGTCTTACTTACTTTGAAGATCTGCAAAGAAATGTAGTATATAGTAAGACTCAGATAAAGAGCTCCCCAGATATTTGTAGTGATGTTATATCCTTATGTATGTGTTAGAAGATGGCTGCTTTACCAAAATTGATTTGAAGGTCACAGATTACAAAAATTAAATTCATCCATAATCTCAGCAAGTAAAATCACAAACTGTTGAGAAGAAAATGCAAAGTTATGATGTTACTTATGAAGGAACTGTTTCCTTAACTTCTGCTATAAATTTCTTATATAATATAAAGTGTATTTGTATCAAGTGATTTATAGTCAGCCTGTTGAGATAGCAGGGTTTTTTTTTTTCACTCTAAATGTAACCTTCTGCCACAACTAAAGTATTTTCTCTTTATTATATCTTTTAGTGTCTAAAAAGCACGGCAAGCTCATTACTTTCTTACGAACATTCATGAAGTCTCGGCCAACAAAACAGAAACTGAAGCAGCGGGGGATCTTGAAAGAGAGAGTGTTTGGGTGTGACCTGGGAGAACACCTTCTGAATTCTGGTTTTGAAGGTAAAAATAAAAGTATCAGCTCATAATCTCAGTTATCAACCTCTCCATATTGGGTTTCTATGAATAATTATAAAGTAGATTAGGTAAGTATTATCTGTTTCATTTCAGTTGAAGCTTCTCAAGTATTCATCTTAGTGCTAATAAAGTTGAAAAAATATGAAGTATAAGATATGTACTTTAACATCAGAGAAACTTACAATGTATTTAGGAAGAGTAAGACAGTTGTACAAAAAGTATAAAATCACTATTATATTACATTATTTTTATATCTGTCTACTGGCTTCTTTAACCAATTTTCCCTCTCACATTTTATCATAACTTATTTATTTAATTTCCCCTTGGGAAAAAATAAGTCAATAGTTTTGAGACTACAAAACACCAAAACTAGTTTCCTAAGTTTTATAACTAAAAATTTAAATTCTTTTCTCTATAAATTAGATTATAAATAATAAATTTAGTGGTTGGTTGAATGGATGGATGGATAGAATTTCCTTTGATACATACATTTTTTAAAATTAGTGCTTTTCTTTACCATTTCCCTTTGACGTGTTAGAATATTAAGGAGATGTCTACCTAGAAAAATCACTTGAAGTAGATGATTTGTGGAATTTCAACACGTGGTAAGAAATTCTCTTGTGTCTTTTGAAAGGACCATTAGCGAAAACCATCCACAGACACCATTAATAATATCAGCTCCAAATTAGGGCCTTTATGATAGGTTAAAGAATACCAGTAGGCTTGTAGTATGTATTTTATATAAACTACACCTCATTTCTTCAGAGAAAAGACAAAATGTTATTGGTCTTGAATTAATATAAATTTAAATCATTTCCTAAAAGAAAACAAAACAAAACAAACAGGATTATTTTTGCATGTAGAAAAGTAAACTTGTGAAACTATTAAGAGCCTTGTAAGGGGGAAAATGTCATAGGATAGAAGAAGTCTAACTTCACCTAAAACAAAAACCAAACTCACTGCTGTGGAGTCGGACCCAACTCATAGGGACCCCTCCTTGGGTTTCCGAGGTGGGATCACTACGAAAGTAGATTGCCCAATCTTCCTTCGGAGGAGTAGCTGATGGATTTGAACTGCCAGCCTTCTGGTTACCAGTCAGATGCCTTAGGCACTACGCCACAAGAGCTCCTAGATATTAGAAAAATATTCAAACCTAGAAGAATTAAATGTGAGTGAAACAGTTTAGGATATTCAGAAATAATTCTTATAAAGAAATAAAAATTCATTAAGGTAAAGCAGTTTAAAACCAGGTTATGAGGAAGAGTTACTTATTAAATATATTGTTGTTGTTATGTGCTGTCGAGTCGGACCCGAATCATAGTGACCCCTTCTTGGGTTTCTGAGGCAGTATCACTACAGAAGATTGCCCAACCTTTCTTCTGAGGAGTGGCTGGTGGGTTTGATTCCCCAGCCTTCTGGTTTAGCAGTCAAATGCCTTAGGCACTACGCTACCAGAGCTTCCTGTTAAATGGAGGCAATTAAATAATGATTTAGAAAAAAACAAGTTCCCATTTTATCACACTCTGAAAGTATACTCCAAATATATTAAAGAGTTAATTATTTTAAACTTATAGCGATAGCAGTGTGAAATGATTTTGTTTACAGATGTGAGAGAATTAATTGCTTTCTCAGATTTAAGCAAAAAACATTACAAAGGAGCAGGTGGTTTCAAATATATAAGTTAGAGATAATGAAAAATAACAAATGTGAAAAAAAAAAAGGACCATAAACTGGGAAACATTCATTTTTGGATATGAGGAAATGCTGCTACCATAGTGTAGAAAAGTATCATTCAGATTTATGAAAAAATTAAGTCCTTAAGTAGAAAAAGGAGCCCTGTGAATCAGAATCCACTCATCAGCAGTGATAGGAGCTCTAGTAGCATAGTGCCTAAGGCACTTGACTGCTAACCAGA